TACTCACTCAGACATTGTGGCTTCCTTCAGGTTTCTGACTCTGGTAATAATCCGGAAAAAAATAAAGAAGAAAATGAAAGCAAAGATTTGAGACAATGTAAATAAAAAAAGATTACATCCAGTAAATTCAAAATCTTAAATGTCACACCACATATGACCTCTAAACTCTTCTTCAAGGTTAATAGACTGTCAATGGAAAATTGTACTTAGTAGTCAGTATAGTCTTTTAATGATATAAGTTTGAATATGGTAGAATACTGCATGTAATCATTTGTGTTTAGAAGTATATAGATGGTGGCATATTGAAAGAATGTTTCATCCTAGGAGGTCTGTAACATTCCAGGAGGTCTGTAACATTCCAGGAGGTCTGTAACATTCCAGGGTGTTCTGGCGTTCACCCCCACATCCTAGGAGTATGGGAGAGGTCGTACCTTGTCTTATTGTTTTACAGTAGGATTAACGTAGCTATGTCTGTTTTAGTCTAAGTGCCTTTTGGTTTGATGAACTGCTGGACTTCGAGACCAGCAGGTGTAGGGAAGTCATTTATGGGGTCACACTCTGACACACACACACACGTACACCTCCACATTTCAATGTATGGAACAAACGCTCACTGAAGCATATAAATAAAGACCAGGGCAGTCCTCAGTGCTTAGTCTCTGAGCCTCACTCTTGGTGTGTGAGTTCTGATGGCTGCCCTTGCTAGCAAGAAAATCTGTGTGTTTCTCCTCTCTGATTCTCTGCTGAAGAAGTGTTTTAGAATATATCTCTTACCATAGACTGATCTGAAGATCAACGTGATAATAATCCAATATAGAGCTGTTTAAAACTATGTTTCCTGCTTCCTTAGTTTGTACTGACAGCGTTAGGAATATAAGGAAATATGGGAATTCTAAATCTACTCCAATTATAGTTTGAATCCAAATATCACGTCACCTCTGACCTCATCTTTACACACACATCTCGTCTTTATTTTTACTGCACTACAAACTCCATAAAGCAGATTTAAAAAGAATAAAGAGAACAAAATGAATGTGAACGAAAAACAACACTATTCCCAAAAAAGTAAACTGCCCAGAGAGCGAGCTGAGGTTTGGGTGCCTGTCAGTCACCAAAGATGGTTTTACAGGCTGAATCGTGGGATGTTTTTTCACAGGACTCTTTTTTAAATTTAGATTTGCTATTAAAATGCAACTTGGTGTAGAAATATGTGTTAAAATCAATAAGTACATCACAAATACTCTTAAAGTTCAGTTTTGTTCTGCTCTTTTTTTTGATGTCTCCCTCTGGAAACTTCCCACCGACAGCCTCCACAGGAGGTTTGTGCATTTTTGGTCATTTAAGAATAGAAACTTCAGGGTGAATCTTGTGCCAGCTGGGCCACTGCTAATCCTGGCTCAGTGTCAAAGGTCAACCATCACATGTCGGAGAGAAATGCAATCCAAAGGGGCGACATTGAGATGTGAAAATGATCAAACTGTTAAAAAAA